GGGTCTGGTCTGCGTAACAAACCAGTCAGACAACCCTTGAACCCAAGAGTATACTTGCATGTGAGTAGGACTAGATGTGCTAGTCTTCGAGGGTCCAACTTCTAGACTTCTCTCAAACTCCTTTCCCTATGAGACTGGAAAAGTAAGTCTGCTCTTGTATCTTTGTGATTCCTACTCCTGAATGAGCCTCTAGTGCCCCTACCTCTGGTCGAAGATGTCTTTTCAAAAAGGACATCGGATCATATGGAGCATAGTTTCGTTCCTACATGCCACTAAATGTTCAAACCACATGTCTTGAATTATTACTTGTATTCTCAACCTTCTCAGGGACTCCAGCCATCCATTGTAGCTGACTCTGCATTTGGAGCAAATTCTTTGTACAGTTGATGTCTCTAAAGAACATACAGCTACTGAGCAATCAAATTGTTGCTGGCCATCTGAAATGCTAACATCTTTTTATTTTTGAGATGGATTATGTTCCTTCTAAGCTATCTCTTGTTTTATTTCATTCATCTGGACATCTAAGACATCCAATTCTCCTAGATGCAAACCCCATTCCAATGCCTGGATGATAGGATTTGGAACCCCAACATTGGCTTACACTTCATGCACCTCTGGAAAGAGATCTTTGTCAATCCCCATTGCCTTCTCAGCCTTGCCTTCCCAGATCTGCTCTTAAATCTTGTCTTGAAACAAATACAGTGTTTAGTTAAATGAGACCAAGTATTATGTCATTAACAATATATTTTACCCTTCAATTCATCTGAAAGGGACATAACCACTTCTTTCAATAGTTTTAAAAATTGTGTTGCAAACAAATGATTAAATATTATATCAACTTTAGATATATGAAAAAAATATGTTCTATGAAAATTTTTCTTTTTAAACTGATGATCAATTGTAGTTTCCTTCTTAATTAAGGTGTCACGTGTATATGGTTATTTGCCTACAATCTTTGCAACATTAATTTCCAAATAAGGATCTTTATAATAAGTCCAACATGAAGAGTTATTCATATTATGTTCTTTCTCTAACAGAGTATCATACCTAGTCCCTTTATACGTTAAATTAACTAGGTCTGTGAAGTCCATTGCGTCAAACTTTTTTCCTATGTGTAAATTTTAGACCATTCTGAGCCAACCTAACAAATTCAGGCTCTGGAAGGACTACCCTGCACCTATTCCTAGCCCTTTTAAGTCTAACTATGAATTGGGTAGCCTTCTCATCTAGTCTTTGGCTCAATCTTGGTAGGTCGTCTATTGAGACTTCTGGTTCAGTTTGGAAGAATTGGCCATGGAACATTTCTTTCAACTGTTGCCAAGTTTGGGCAGTACCAAGAAGTAGGATAATATACCAAGCAAATACTAGGCCAATTAATGAACTAGGGAATAATTGAAGCTTAATGTAATCATGATTTGTATATTTCCCATTTTGCCTTGTGAACCTAGCAATATGTTCTCTAGTTGATCGGTTCCCATCCCCTCGAAACAAAGTGAAATTTGGGACTTTGTAGCCTTTGGGAACTCATGCAACCTATCCACCCAATCAGGGTAAGGTTTTCTGTATTTTGATGTTTGCACCCCCCGAGTCATAGGACCACATATTTCTTTCGCCATGTTCAACAATTGTTCTATATGAATGGCATTTGGAATAATAGGTTGGGCCACCACTTGGGTACTACGATCTATTATTGTCCATACCCTTGATAGATTTGTTATCTATGAGCATGGGGTTACATATTTGGCACTGGCTGAACAAAATATGCAGTCATTCGATCCATGGGGTACACAGTAGGGTTTGGTGGTTGTTCATATCCTATTACATTTTCTTCCCTAAGAACAACAGGTGGTGGTCTAAAAGGCTCTACCAAACCCCTCGAGTATAGGTTCAAAAACTAGATTTGACACCATTCTAGTAGTATTATTCATTTGTGCTTGTGTATATCCATAGGTAGGATTACTAGGTGCGCTTCAAGGTATAACCTGAGGCTTTACATGTACAAGATTTGTCTCTTCAGTAGTAGACAATCTATGATAAATCCCCAAACCAATTGGTGGAATTGGTCTAATAGGCTGATAAAAGGATTGTGTGGTTCTTCCCTTATTGTCACCATTGCTTTAGTTGTTAGTAAAAGATGGTGTAGGTTGGGTTATTACTTGAACAGGATTCTTATGTCCATTATTTGGAATAAGACCTACATTTTCTAGCCTATTATCAATCTTTTGAATGATTGATGCACCAAAAGAATTAGACCAATTCCTAAAGGTTGTAGCCATTATTTGACTTATCATGGACACTATTCCAATCCACTGTTCATTTGACATGGTAGGACTAAATAATAATGGTTCACTTCTAATTCTACTACTTTGGCCAAGTGTTTGGCCTTGGAAAGGTGCTTTTCCATAAGATTGACCTTGTGGTTGGCCAATATATTGAGGTTGTGTCTTAATCCTTGGATAAGGATTCTCTTCTACACGTACTTGGCCATTTTCTTGTTGGCTAGAAGTAGAGGGAGGGTCTGCTACTTCTTCTCTTCGAGGCAAAAAGACCCTCTTCTTGTACCTCAATATGAACATCAACATCATTATCTAGATGTTCTTCTTCTTGGCGTCATGTTCTTACCATATTTCAACACAAAAAGTGACCCATTGGATGTGCCAAAAAACTATATGTTGGCTATTTTGGCACTTCGAAAGATAAAAATGTAATTTTCTCCTGCCAGTAAGGATTTGAAAAAGCCTTGTAGAATTTATAAGTCAATTTACTTATCAGGCAATTGTGATTAGGTTCTTTTAGCCTTAATGAAGAGGATGTTACTGGTTATGTTTTATTAAGAACCAATGCAATATTACTTGAATTCGAAACAGAATGAGAGGAAGAGACTAAACAGAAAATGTAATTGATTAATTGAATAATGCAATTACAAAATGTTACCTTTAGTAAGGGCATCATTGAAGGTCAAATTCTGAAAACACAAGAGTTACTTTATTCTAGTCCTATGAAAAGTAAGTGCAATGCTAAAATTTAAAGATAAAAGAAATGGCAAAGCTATAGAGTCTGGATTTGTTTGCGGGGCCTTTTCATCTTTGTTTTTATCTGTTTATAATCTTCTTTTGGCCTTTGAACCAATTGAGCTGCTTTTCCTCACCATGATCTCTTTTCTTGTAGCTACTTCTTAAGATCAATTCTTCTCTTTGTGCATGCAAAACCGCTAACCGTCTCCATAACTTATTTCCCTTGTGTTGTTCACATGTTGAATAACTACCTTTCAACTGCTAGAACTTGCATCTGCTGTTCACGCAATTTGCTTAAAGAGGCGGGGTTCTTTAATGACTTGGGCATCTACATAATTACCCTTACTTGCCACAAGTCACCTTCCAACTAGATGGTTTAATTATGGAGCCAACAAATTCGGCACACACAAATGATTCGAACCATTTACTTAGTAAGCCTCACGGTAAATGTTATCCATGTAAAAAATCAATTTTATTGGATAACTATAAATACGGGAACAAATCGCATTTCGTTTTATAAAATGACTAGTTTAAATTTACAATCATATTTGTTGTTCATTTTACAAAATAAAATTTGATTTGTTCTTATGTTTATACACATTCGATGAAATTAATTTTTTGCATAAATAACTTTTATTGTGGGGTCTACGAAATAGATGGTTCAGATGATGGATGTGGGTATAAATTAGGGCCCATGAGGGGGGTATGGAGAGATGAAGTATGGAAGGGAGTTCATCCCTACAAAGTTTGCTATACTCACTAAAATTATATACGGTAAATTACAAATATACCTCTTGTGATTCTAGGAATTATAAATATTTGATTTTTAGAAATTTTTATTTAACATAATTAATAAAAAAAAGAAAAAGAAAAAGAAATTCTCAACTACTCCTTTATACACTAGTAAAATTACTAATATTGTTAATTAAAATATATTTTTGACATCATTAACAACTATTAACTAACTTAATGAATTATTCATAAAATGGGTCATTAATTAGTTATGCGATTAAAAATTTGAAGGAACGGGATGTAATTTTCATAACCATAGGAAGTAGTTTGTATTTTCATCAACCTTAGGGATGTATTTATAATTTACCAAATTATATATTAAATTTAGTTAAGATAGATTAGATTATAAAGAAATCATTACAATTTAATTCAAATATATAAAAATATGGTGTTGTTATTTTATAGTTTCAAATCTAATTAATAACAAAAAAAAAATTTATCAAACAAATTTAAATTTACGCTTTCTTTTCTTTTTCTTTATTTTTATTTTTTATTTTTTTGGTAAAAAACCAATTTAATATAAGAAGAAAATGTCTTACTGGTTTATTTATTTATTTTATTTTCTAAAAGTTCAAGCAGGTTTCATTGCATTAGTATATAAACACACTTTGTAAATTAGGTTTCATTTTTCTCAAGTTTCAAATTGAAACTTGACTAGAGGGGCCATGGGACTAATTACAAGTTTCATTTTAATGATTTGAATTATTTATTTATAAGGTTTATATCATTTGTGAAAAAATTAAGTTGATCCTATAATTATAATTTTTTTATTTTATTAAATTTGTCTGAAAAAATAAATTATTTTATTAAATTTGTCTGAAAAAATAAACAACAAATATGTTTTTTAAATAGACTATTTATTTTTTGTAGAGACAAATATAATAAAATAAAAAAGTTATAATTTTTATATTAACTTAATTTTTTTGTATAAATTATATATATGAATAATCTTACAAAATAAATGATTGATATTATCGAAATGGGACCGTAAGAAGGCCCACGGCCCCTCAAATTAGCCCAACCCTTGTTAATTATATTGGGCACTCTTTCATTCACTGCCTCTGATAACTCAAATCTTCATATAAATATCACTATTTTTATGTGAGTAATAATAGAATTCACATATAAGAAATATTTGGTAAAAATATTGATAAATCTCTTGATGTTGCGAGCATTTCTCTTTTTATCTTGCAGATCTACCCTACGTGTTTTTATCAATAGGTACGGAGATCTATATCACTCTCTCTCAAAATTTATTTATGATGACAAAAAAAATAGAAATGAATAAAAATATTATAAATCTATCTAAATAAAATACATGAAATTAACAGAAGATAATTTAGCTCACTTTAAATCTTTCTAAATTTATCTTGAACAATAGGAGAGACCACTAGACACAAAATAATGGGCAGATTGCCTTGGGATTTTAGATATTATAAATATTAATAAAATTTATTCAATAAAATTAATAAAAAAAATAAAATTTCTATTTACTTTTCTATAGAACAATAAACTTATCAGAATTAATAATTGAAATATATTTATGTCTTCATTAAAAATTGTTAATTGACTTAATAAAATGGATCATTTGTCATGTAATTAGAAATTTGAAAAAACGAGATGTAATTTTCAAAATTATAAGAAGTAATTTACATTTTAAAAAAAAATTGAAGAGTTGTATTTGTAATTAACCCAAAACAGTAAGAAATTGTTGTACAATTCTTAAATTAAAGGAAACAGGTAACTTTTGTCACTTTTTGGGATTCACTCACTTCTTTTTGTGTTCAAATGAACATTAATTATTCCTTAGTATAAAGAACTTGCGCCAAAGTCAATATGGCCTCCTCCATCCAACCTAAAGCCGGTTCTAAATTCCAATTTTCTCATACAGCACGATGCCTCGCAGGAAGAGCTTTATTTGGGATGCTATTTATGTTTGTGTTTTTAATCTATAAGTTTAGGAGAAGGCATTTGTCTATGTTCGACAACATTGAGGATTTTCTTCGAAGTCAGAATAATCTCATGCCTATTATGTACTCTTACTTGGACATTAAAAAGATGACTAAAGGTTTCAAGGATAAGTTGGGTGAAGGAGGCTATGGTTGTGTGTATAAAGGAATGCTTCGAAGTGGCCATCCTGCAGCAATAAAGATATTGGATAAATCCAAAGCTAATGGGCAAGACTTTATCAATGAAGTTGCCACTATCGGAAGGATTCATCACGTCAATGTGGTCAGGCTAATTGGATATTGTGTACAGAGATCTAAGCGCGCTCTAGTATATGAGTTCATGCCTAATGGGTCTCTTGAAAAGTATATTTTTTCTCAAGAAGGAAATGTCCACTTAGGTTGCATGCAAATGTACAAAATTTCTCTAGGAGTGGCTCGTGGGATTGACTATTTGCATCGAGGTTGTGACATTCAGATCTTACATTTTGACATCAAGCCCCATAACATTCTTCTTGACGAGAATTTCACTGCAAAACTTTCTGATTTTGGGCTCGCAAAATTGTATCCAACAAATGATAGCATTGTGTCACTGACTGCAGCAAGAGGAACAATGGGCTACATGGCTCCGGAGTTATTCTATAAGAACATTGGAGGCATTTCATATAAAGCTGATGTTTATAGTTTTGGAATGTTACTGATGGAAATGGCAGGCAGGAGGAGAAATTTGAATGTCTTTGCAGATCATACAAGCCAAATTTACTTTCCTTCGTGGGTCTATGACCAATCTAGAGAAGGGACGGAGATAGAGATGGGTCAGATCACCGAGGAGGAAAGAGCAATGGTAAAGAAAATGATAATAGTTGCTTTATGGTGCATACAAATGAATCCCAGTGACCGTCCTTCAATGAGCAAAGTTGTAGAGATGCTCGAAGGAAATGTTGAACTTTTGCAGATGCCTCCCAAGCCTTCTTTGTGTCCACAAGAGATTCCAGTTGAAGATCATGAAATCAACATGGATCTTGCAGAGTTGCCTATGCTATCCTCCATGTGATTGCATAAATTCCATCACCGTGGATGTGTTGCACCTCAAGTTGTTTAATATAAAATTTTTTGTGTCAGCAGGGAATTCTAACATCTCCAGCTCCTCGTATAATTGAGGTAGTCTTATTCCAACACATGATTGGACAACTATGCCTCATTAAAATAAATTTGTGTGAAAACATGTTATTTGGTTGAGATGTCTCTCCTTGTGTTGCATTTCAATTGCTTGAAAACTTTCTTAGTTAAATTTATATTCATTGCATTTTTGCAAAGATTCTATGAGTTATAATGTTCACACACAAAAAAAAAAAATAAAAAAAAAATACATATTTTATATAGAATGATTTGATTGATATGTTGGCCCAATCACTTGAAAACAAAGAACTCATGGAGAGACATTTTAATTATGAAAAACAAAAATAAAAATCACTGCCACATAATTCTTGTGAAAGATTGTACATAAAAATTAGGTAAGAATGGGGTTTTTCCATTTCTATTCTGTGATACATATGGCTTTTTTTTATTTGTTATTTTGTAGGGATATTGCTTTGACACCATATGACAGCACATAAGCTTTGGATATAGTTTCTCAAACTCTTATTTCAAATGTGTTTAGACAATCTATAAGATAAGCAAACAGCTTAACCTGCAATGCAATTTACTCGAAGTAGCTTGAATTAGGCTCATGTAAAGGTATTCCATTCACCAAAAAATAAATAAATAAATAAATAAAATAAAATAAAACCTCATGTAAAAGATAACTAAATTATCAACTAAACTTCAAGCAGAATTAGTAAGTGTTTTTGGAAAAGATAACAATATTGTGTGTATTAAAATTTGATCACACAACCAAATCAAATCCACCTCCAAAGATTCCAGGAACAAAGCTGAAGAGCACATACACTAGATGGAATCCACAACCTAAAACAAGGAACATAATAACTAACCCGGTTACTCTCAACCGGGAGAACACTCCGACGGTGAAGTTAGTAACTTCATCTCTCGTAGATAATTGCAAAGTACCAACTCAAGCAATTAACCCACAAGTAAAAACATACATTTCACCCATTTAGGTGCTTTTCTTTGTATAGAACTAGTGCCCTCCTCATCCTAGAAGTCATACCTCAATAGGGCACTTATTCCCATAGGAATAACACTTATTCAAGATTCACCACTCCTAATGGGATTGGGTTTAACCTCTCACAAGAGTCTCAACTTATCCAACCAAGCAGCCTGTCTTTTACTAGGACTTAGGTCCTTCTCTGATTAATCTCAGATCCAGTGTGATAGCATCACACCTCGGCCAATAACATCCTTCCATGTGGAACCTCGACTAACAACCTATCTACATGGACAAGACAAAAATTATGTCAATATTAATCTCATCCCTTTCAAGTGAATTTTAGTGTGGTCAATCGTCTCAAATAAGGCAGATGTTTGTAGCTTTGGAATGCTATTAGATGAAATGTTAGGCCAAAGGAGAACTTGAAAGTGACTAAAGAAAATTAGGCCTAATGTTTAGGTTTCGATTCTAGTTTAAATGGACACTTTGTTTTAAAATAGTAAGTCTTCATACTACTACATCATTCTATGTAGGAATATTTATACGCAACAAATTAACGGATTCAATCCATACCTGAATATCTCGAATCCAAAAAGAATGAACCTAATGAGTGAATCGTGTGCCTCCGAACCATCAGTTGAAATCCCAACAATGGAGTGATACTACAAGGCGAGCAACACCCACACAACTCATAATAAAAAGGCCCATGTTTAATTCTTCAATGACAAAAAGATTGAAAGCACTCAGATATTTGCCCACATAATAATACGTTTTGCTTCACCTTATCCAGTCCCATAATAATACGTGTGTTGATATGATCAATATATAGAGCGATATATAACCACCGATCCTTATCCCAGATAAGATGGGATGATAAGTTATCCTTATCTCTTAGGATAGCTCTGAATTTAAATTCAGCTAGGTCTTACATGGGTCATGGGTCATGCCACCATGGGCATCCACACTCAGGTCCAAAACCCAACCAACATCTTCCACTCGTACATGGGTTAGCATAACGCTGCTACATCTCCATCTCAATCTACCTAAACTTAGAACAAACTCATATTGGCCAATGGACCGTGCAACTGCTGAGACCACCTGCATATGGGAGCTCTATACTAGAAACTCGAAACGAGCCAGAATAGAGATATCAACCCAAAGATAAAAAATAATGTCTCACGTACCTCAAACCCATCTAGTTATAACGGTCCAAAACATTCCTAATCTCCCAAAGAGCATGTTTGACCCTCTCAAATCTTGTAGTATATACACACTCAATCGCATCCCATACAAACCGATGTGAGTTGTCGACAGTGAATATATAGTAGAGGTGTATAACTAAATGATCTTCCCTTTGCTCTCATGTCACTTAATTCATAACTGACCGCTTTCCCAGTGATGTCCCTTAAGGCTGAATCATACATGACTGTAGACAACATACCAAAGTAGCAGAACATCAATCCCTCAACTCATGACACAATCAAAGGTCACAAAAGGGCACAAAGTAAGGTCATTGTAAAATGGCCTTTAGAACTCACACGGTGAGGAAGCAATGATCCATTCTCTTACCTCACTAACTAGTTGGCAAGCACATGCAGTATGAACTCATGCTACAGTGGAGTAACTCTTCAAAAGAGTGATGTTAGACTCTATACACTATACAGATCGTAGTTTAGTTACTTCTAAGTGCACTAGTAGCTTCAACCGCCTAACTCGAATTCTCTATTTGCTCGCTTCCAATACATCAAATGAGATCTTGCATCTGGCCATACATAACAGGCACACTATGGCCTATGTGGGTACTACTTTCCATGGTTGATCCTTAATAGGACCTCATCTTGGCTCCAACAAAGGCGACATAAATTGTGGATGACTTTGAGCTCCTCTGAGCTCCAATCTATAAACCAGTAGTCTCATCCTTGCTCACTGTCAAGTGCCAAGGGCGATTGCTCGTGTGAGTGAGCTAATCTAGCCCGCTAACATCTAATCTATTTATTTTGTATGCTAACTGACAAACCATATCAATAAGCAATAAACATACATGTAAAAACAAATACGAATATTGATAGTATAAATATCCCATAAAGTCAAATGTGCAATGTAAGTGTTCAACTCAATCCATATTCTTGACTGCTTTTTTTGAGCTTGTCCTGGATTGGTAACTGTTCACCAACTCGACTGCATAATAGGTGTCTGGTCGTGTACACATCATATCATACATCAAGCTTTCAACAACATTCAAATAGGGTACACGGGCCATTACTTCATCCATTGCAACATTCCATTATCTACTAGCAGGAGATGAGAGAGCCTCAAAGAAATTCTTAAGCTCCATCTCATCATTTGAAACAATCATGAATGTTTCCCCTTCAATCCCAAAACAACAATGGGAAATAGTTCCACGCTTGTTTCTACACAGTTGAGGATCTTGATAATCATGTTCCATTGGATCCAATCCAAGGACAAGAAAATCGCTCCTACTGTCCCTAGGGGCTTGAGGAATTTCTTTCTTATCCTCTACTAAGCTATTAGGTGTGCCATCTTGTAGATCCTCCATCTCATAGAGATTCACATCTCTAGTTTCATTACTTCTGCTAGGGAAATCCTCCTCTAGGAAATCTACATCTCGTGACTCAATTTCAGTCACACTTCCATCTGTGTCACAACCCAAGCCCACCCCTATAGATTTAGCATCTTAATCAGCCAGTAATCCACAGATTACAGAAGGCCTCTTAAATAGAAATCAAATTATTAGGGGCTAGCTGAAGCAAATAACAAATATACAATGTTCATTGAGCTGTGCAAACTAATATAGGACATAAATTTAAAACTCATATTTACATATATTATGACGTCAACCTTACATCTTCACAAAGTAGATAAGTCAAAAGGGACTTAGCCCTATTTACAGAAGAAACGTAAACTTGTCCAAACAAAAGAAAAGTAAATTAAACTTAGACTTGATCACAAACACTATCCACAGAACTTGACCACAAAAAGACTTCCGGAACCTCCTCAGGAGGAGCACAAGTTGGTTGACACAAATCGATCTAGACTAGAAGTCTCTAGCCTGGTCACGCGCCTGATCACCTACATACATAATTAATACAGTGAGCTGGAACCTAGTGAATAACAACAGAGTAAAGATCTTATGAATGATATCCATAGCAAATTCAGAAATCAGAATTCAAATCAGAAACAGATTCATATACATATTCAGACTTGTAAATAGTCATACGTGGTACATCCATTAGCGTTAACAAATCATATTGGTCATAAAGACCCATATACAAAACAGATGGTCATTAAGTCCTATATTCACATAAGATGGTCATAAAGACCCACTTGTAGATCAGATAGTTAATTATGCATAATCAGTTCCATGAATGGAACCCACTTGAAACTCTGGTACCAGGTAACATATAACATATGACATGATACTAAGGATGTCACAATTACATTTCAAAAACCTAGACAATCATTCATGGTTCACAAAATTGCATTTTACAAAAACAGACCGTATCATATCATTCAAAAAATACTTATAGTCAACATAGCTTTACCAAATTGTTACTCACAGATAGCTCCAGAAACAGAACAGACGAATCAGACAACTTAGACAGATCAAACGGACTATTGTGCATGACCTACACAGACACAAAATAGATACACATTAAAACACACGCTCTGAAACCACTTGCCTTTTTCATTTCTTTCTAGGTGTGTTTCTAATTCTTATCCTCATTATTGTAGCCTAAAACATAGCTTAAGAATGCCTAAGGTGGAATGGGGATGCAATTATGAACTTGAAACACTTTGGAAAATTTTTGAAAACAGGGCAGTTCGCTCGAGCGAAGCTTTGGTTGCTCGAGTGGTCTACAAAGTCTACAAAAGTACTGGATGCTCTCGTTTTACGCTTGAGCCAACTTTTGGTCGCTTGAGCCATGTGCCTTGAAAATGTGAGTTCGTTCGAGCGAAGCTTTGGTCACTCAAGCCAACTGCCTTGACTGCAAAAATACTGGAAGCATGCAAAGTACGCTTGAACGAAGGTTCCACCGCTCGAGCGAACCCTGCGAATTCTAGAATTTCCAGATTTGTGTTCTGAGTTCAAAATGCAATTTCAAAGTACCAAAA